AATATCCTTTTTGGGTGCAGTGACCACAACTTTACATAATATTCTAGGTATAGTAGCACTACAGATTCATACAAGGTAAGTCTTATCTTAGCAGCTTTATTTTCAATTCCTTTTCTAATTAATCCCAACATGGAATTTGCCTTTTTCACAGTTGCTTCACATTGGGTCAACATTTTCATTGAACTGTTCACTACAACATCAAGATCTATTTTCGGTCAGTTATTGTTAGCTCAAATCTCTCTCTTTCTACTTGAGGTTGGGATTTTTTACTCCAAGATGCATTCAGACTTGCTAATATTGAGCAACTTTTGCCATTCTGATCTCATTACTTCTTGGATTTCCTTACAATCCCTTTTTGTTTTAACCACTCTATATAATTAGGTGTCATCAGCAAATTTGGCTACTCAGCTCTTACTCCTAATTACAGATCATGAATAAGTTGAAAAGCACTGGAGCTAATACAGATCCTTTTGGGATCCCACTCTTTACATCTCTTCATTTTGAGAATTTACCATTTGTGCCTACTTTCTGTACTTTAACTTGATAGTGATCGATGAGAGGACCTCCTCTCTATCTCCATGATTGCCAAGTTTGCTTGGGAATCTTTTGTGAAGAACTCTGCCAAAAGACTTTTGAAAGTCCAAGTAAGCCACATCTACTAGATAATCCCATTCACATGTTCTTGACATGCAAAGAATTCTAGGTTAGTGTGACAGGATCCAGCTTTGTGGAAGCCACATTGAGTCTTTTTTTTAAAGCAGGCCCTGACCTTCTACATGCTTATGAAATTCGTATTTACTTACGCTTTCATTAGTTTTACCTGGAAAAAAATTAAGCTACCCAACCTCCAGTTCTGCACATTCCCCCTGATCCCTTTTTTTAAAAAAATAGTGCTATACTAGCCATTCTCATCTTCTGGTACAGAAGCTGAACTTGGGGACACATTACGTATCATTGTCAAACCAGCAGTTTCATACTTGAGTTTTTTATAGCAAAATCCTATGGCTACTAGATAAGAGTTCAGATGGCAATAGGAATCTTCAGAAATCCATCTATGAGATCAGAAAAGCACACCAACTACGTAGCTGTGCCACCAACTTCATAGGATCCACCCACCCTCACAGCCTGTGTGGAAAGAATCATGCCTTTGGATCGCCAAAGTTGCAAGAGTGGCCTTAGAAACAGGGTTGAGTGGCCCCATTGATATAAATACTGGATTCCAACTGGATATAAATACTTGTTTCCAGATGAAGACGTATTATGTAAGCCATCTTGGATTTCTTGCAGGAAAAAAGGTGGGATAGAAATATAATCCATGCAAAAATATTGCATGGATTCCAGTTTTGAGCTTCTTTCCACTTCAGTTCTCTTATGTATCTTTTTTGTTTTTTTGGTAAGCCTAAAGGGATGGCTTCTCTTTGCCTCTTTTTTATAGAAGAGGCTTTGGGAGACAGTATTTGTCTGAAATGAAAATTAAAATCTAATAAAATAAAATTAATGAAAATCTGCATAGTTCTGCAACCCTAGTTTTGGGACATTTTGAGAACATAGAATAAAATGCTTCCTCTAAATATTTCTTCCAGCTATCTTGCTAAACAGAGATTTGTTTTTATTTTTATTTCTTTTATTGATAAGGCCTTCACTCAGAAGGACCAAAAGCTAACTCATCTGATAAATTACTGTACATGCTGCAAATAAATATGTGCAGCCGACAAACAATAAGCCAAGACAAGAAAAAAATTCTAGTGCCCTTATTTTAAGAAAGCACTACATATCTTTTGAATGACAAGTATCTTCATCTGAAAGCAAGTGAAGTAATTACAGTCACTGAACAATTACTGTTCTCCATGGCCTAAATAAGGAATGTTAAAAGTACCATGGCCAGATCATAAATGCCACTTCAAAGCAGTCTGAGATCCATCACTGGATTCCTAGCACTAGTGACAAGAAAGCCTCAGCCTAGGGCTGAGATCCAACATGAAACCAGGGTCAGAGCTACACCAAGCTTTTACTGCAGGGCTGTGAGCCTGAGTAACTCCTGTGGCATACAGTGCAGCTCATTTTCCATCTCTATTGTGTTGTCCCTCTTCTTCGGTTCTGGAATTTTCATGACGAACTTTATTCCAATTCTCCTCCTCCTTGCTCTTCAGCTGTGGTGCATGCCATCCTCTGTATGCTCACCTCACACTGTCCTTGCCTTCCCGAGGGAAGGGTAGAGGAAGAGTTCCACCAGGGCTCAGCAAAACAGGGCAGCAGCATGGAGATCCATAAGCTGCTTCCCTGCCTCCCTCGCCCCCTCAGTTTCTCCCTCTGGCTTACAATGTTCCCTTGCCTCTCCTCCTCTCCGAAAAAATAGTTTGAGGTGCTTTCCTGTTTGTCTTCTTTGCCCTCTTGCTTGAAAAACTACTAACTGAAATGCATGTCTCTCAGAAGCAAATCACATTATCTTCAATGGCCTTGCTCACCAATAAATCACAATAACTTCAATGGTGCTAACTCATGGGGAAGTCCCAGGGGAGAGCGCTCTACTTGCTTACTTTTGGGTGGAGGGAAAGGAGGTGCTGGTCTCACACCTGGAAGGACATCAGCAAACATGTCCTTCTCCCTGATTTTTTGGGAAGAGCAGGAGGATTTTTTTTTTAAATTATTCCTTTTTGTTCCTTCATGCCTGGCATGTAGCTAACTGAGCCAAAAACAGAACAAGGGGGACCAGAAGGGACATTTCTCTGCGCACATCTCCTTTGCAAATCTTCCTGACACCAATGGTCCTCAAGTGAGCAACACCCACTAATAGAGCTCAGGAGTGAAAACAGCACGGACACTGTGGCTATCCAGCAACAAGTCTTGCTGCATGTGCTCAGAGTAAGAAATGCAGGATGTGGCTATAGCAACAGTATGATGGGATCTTGACAATATGAAGTTCTGGCCCAAGATTGTTTCCATATGAGGCTTTAATTGTGCAGTCATCCTTCCTCATTCATGGAATTTTGCTGAGCATTCAAATGATAGTGTCTAGTGCCTTCCATTTGCAATCCTGTGTTTTGCCATTGCCTTTTCCATCTTTCTTGCCAGGAGAAAAAAAAAACTGGTAAGGAAAAAAAAGACAGAAAAGCTGGACAATATCTTTGGATTGGTAGTGCTAGAAGGCCTCCATCTGTGGAGATTTTTCCAGAAAGCTATACCTCCTTCTCCTACCAGCACCTCATTCCCTCAACCAGTGATCATTCCCTGTTTTATGCACTTGGTGTTGTAGTCTTTCCCCGCTCTCCAATTCTAGAAATCCCAAATGCCAATTCTAACACTTAGTACTGGCAGTAAAGGTTTTAAATTGAAATTTGGCTAGTACAGTGGTACCTTGGCTCATGAACGTAATCTGTTCCAGGACTCTGGTCGTGAGCCAAGTCAAATTTCCCCATAAGGTTCAATGTAAATAAGGTTAATCCGTTCTGTAACCATTTTTTAAATCAGAAAAATGTGAAGCAAAGTGACAACAAAGATCGCAGTCATCTCCCCCCCCCCTCCCCACAAGCACAAGCGCGGCCATCTCTCCACCCCCAGCATGACCGAGATCACGCCTGTCATCCCTGCACGCATCCATCATCCCGGCACACTGGGGGGTGGGGGGGAGAGATGGGTGTGATCGTGGGCGCACTGTGGTAGAGAGGGGCGCAAATGGTGCGCTGGGGGTGGGGAGACGGCCGCGATGGCAGTTGCTTTCGTGTAGGGAAGGTGTGCCTGATCAGAGACGTGCTCCTGCAGGAAAGACAGGCAGAATCTCAGCCATCTCCCCCACCACTCTGCTTTGCTGCTTCTGTCTTTCCTGCAGCTGCGTGCCTCTGATCAGACACCTTCCCTACACAAAAGCAACTGCGATCCGTGATCAGAGGTACGTGACTCCACAAATGACAAGCGGATTCGCAGCTCTGCTTTGCTGCACCCGTCCTGAGTGCAGCCGCATGCCTCTGATCACAGACGCCTTCCCTGCACGAATGGAACTGCGATCGTGGCCATCTCCCCATGGGCGCTGGGAGGGGGAGATGGCTGTGATCTTGGTTGCCACCCAAAGTGGTGTTCGCGACCCAAGTAAAAATTTTTCAGTAATTATTGTTTGTGACCCGATTTCTTCTTGAGCCAAGGCGTTCATGACCAGAGGTACCACTGTACTTTGGTTCGCCCCCTTTACCTTCAAGCTGGGAAAGGGATAGCCCAAGAGTGGCTGTACTTAGACCCATCTTGTCTCCCCCGCCAAAAACACTTCCACCCTGAACCCAGTTCTGGACAAGTCTTCATATGCTCTGCGGAAGCTGCAGTGGCGCTCCACGAGTGGAATCTTACAACCACTACAACTTAACTGATTGTGGGCAACAAACCACTTTTGTGTTGAGCCATTGAGCCTAAACTTTTACTTTTCATGGAAGTTACTCAAAGAGCTGAAGGTCAAACTAGAAGTTATATTAATTGCCTGAATACAATTAACATTATCAACATCGTCAAACATAACCGGTTTGGTCCTAATAAAACTATTTCCCAGTATGGATTTTTACTTTTTTCCCATGGCTCGGCACGGCTCCCACTGTTGTTATCACCATCACCAGTCATATTATTCTAGGGGTCAACCAAATAACAACAACGTTGACTGCACTCAGGCAAAAAGCAACAAATATGCTGTGCTACGAGCGCGAAATTTTGGAGACACGCCTCAATGCACTTCATCCTCTCGTTTCGCAGATGCGACCGCTACGCGCGCAGCCGCGCTTGGAAACCCGCAGCGCAGCTGCGCTAGTCCGCCCCACCGGGAGCCAGTGGGAAAGCGAAGCCACCTCGCCCCTTTCTGCAGGCCGAAAAAGGCGGCGAGCCTCAGAAGCTGCACCACTCCGCTCTTCCCCTTATAGCGGAGTGGCGGCTTCACTTGTCAGTCACGCGGGTGGGCGGGGGAAAGGACGAAGTCTCGAACCCTCACGAGCGGAGGGGCTCACTCCGTCATCCGCGCGCGACGAGGTGCGAGGGGCGGAGGAAGAGAGGCATGGCCCCCACTGTCACTAGCAGTGGTTGGTTCGGGCGGCTGTCATGGCCTCCTCGGAGGGGCAGGCTGGCTCGAGTCCACCCGAGGCCTCCTCCCCGCCGGGAGCCTCCTCTGAAGAGCTGGTCCGAGAAATCCTGAGAGGCTGCCTATGCTTGCTGCCCAAGTTGCTGGGGCAGGTTAGTGGGCAGAGGACAGCCGTAGTCGCGCTTGTTGGGCGAACGGGATGCAAGAAGGGACGAACGATTGCCGCTCTGAAAACATGAGGCGTGAGAGGCTGGCAGAGAGTAGGGCGCGACGAGGTTAAAAGGGGCGGTTTACTTACGCTTTGACCCCGTTATAGAGCTTTGATTCAATCAGAGCATATCTCAGCACTTCCAGGGATTGATAATCTTCCTACCTCAACTCTAAATCCTCTACTTGAAAGCGGTTCCCATAGTTTTTAGTGAAAATTGGTGCTACACGGCTTGTTTGTAGGCGTAAGGTTGTATTCAGTTTTAGTCTTTAGTCTTGGAACAGACACATTATATGGAATAGACACAATGGAACTTAAGTCTGTAGGATTTCAAGTAACATATTTTGGCTTTGGGATCTGCCCTTTGGGAAGTGCGCTTTCATGTTTTGTTTCTGTGTTGCTGTAGTTTTCGGCCATGTGCTTATTACCTTGTCCTTGTTCATTTAAACATAATAGCGACCAGTGTGCAATGTAAATTCACAAATTTGTTAACCTGTGTGATCTGGGACTCAACCTTATTTTCTTTTTTCTTTAAAATAGTCCTCTGTTATCGTGAATCATGTAATACTAATCTGTCAGGAATGTTGTTTTCATTGTGTCATGGTCTTCTATAGGAACTACTGTAAATTGCTCCGAGAGCTTTGGTTATTTTGTGGTATAGAAATTAAACTACTGAATAAATAGGTGAAGAACTGAGTCTCACATTGGAAAAGAGAAATAAATGTGAAACTCAATATCTTGCAATACTGTGTTCACTGGTGGCTTCAGATTTGTGCATGCATACATATATCCGCACATGTAAGTTAGAAATTTTCTAGTCTGCCCTTGGAAGAGATAAGGATCTCTTGTTTTAAGGTTTAGATAATCTTCAAAAAGCCTGTACTATTAAGCCAGGTGATGTGTGTGACAAACAGACCCACCCATCCTCAAAATCTCTTCTATCCTTGAGGCTTTACATGTATTTCAATTAAGCATAAGCACATATTGATCCAGGAGTAGATAGATGCTTTGCTTTTAGCTATAGTGCTGATAAGATGGTTGGTGGAGTGTAGTATCATTTCTAGTATCCAAATTTTAAAAGTGAGTTGAAAAGTTGGAGAGGATGCTGCAGGAATACTTCACATGTTGGAAAGGATTTGTTGCAATTCCAGGTAATTAAAAGATTCAATAGCTATAGTTTCAAAAAGTGGTTTCATCAAGGAACATTAAGGAAGAAAGAGAATTACTCACAGTCAATAAACAGTGCCATGATATGTCTTTGCCAAAGTACATCTAGTGGATGGAAATGAAATTGATAGAAATGAATGCTTGAAGTGATGTTTCCCCCAATAGATAAATGATTGGATTTGAATTTTGTAAATGTGGACATGGGTATTCATTTCTATGGCCCTGGACATATATCAGCCTCCATCTCTAAAGCATTATTGTTAAAATATTATCTAACTTTCAGGACTGGTCATTCAGTAGGAATTAGTTTACATAGAATTCCAATCTAAAAGTAAAGTCTGGAAAAGGAAACAAATTAAAATATTGCATTTAAAAAGATAAAATGCATGGTATCTTAATTAAAATTGAAAACAAACTGCTCAATACTTTTATTCATTTTAGGGATAAAATAAATACAAACGTTGTTTAAACAGAGAATACCCACCATTAACACTGAATCATGAAAGCAGTAGCTGTGTAACTCAACTCCTTTCGCATCTTCTAGGAAAACTTAGTAATCATACTGTCCAAGGCACCCTGATTAATGGGAAAGGGACACTTAATTTGAATGCTCATAGTGCAATACTGCAGGAAGCAAGGCCAAACAGGGGTGGGATATGGGAGTTCTCTTCCCCTTCATTCATTTGAATCAGGCTTGGAATGCAATTTTCCAGTAGCAGCTAGGATTTATATCTGTGCATACAGAAAGCAAGTTTGGAATCAAGCACTGTATTGAAGCATGACATTGCAAAGGTTATTATTAGGTTTATCATATTCATTATAAAGTATTAGGGCATAAAGGAAAGTCACAAGTAGACTGGACCATTCAAGGCTGCAGGTAGAGGACCTTTATGTGTAGAAGTAGAAATCTGGAAACTTTCTCCCTTACTTGTTAGGTTTTTAAAATGTGCAAATTCTTTTTAACATGGGGAACACTCAAAATTGAAATCCCTGACACCTAGAGCCCAAAGTCCACTGTATCACCTCAAGATTTTCTGACATCCCTTTACTATATGTGTGGATCAGAATCTTATTGAAGTCAGCAGAACTAATTTCTGAATAAACATGCCTGGGATATTGCTGAGTTAAAAGAATTCTGATTTTTATAATATATAATTATTTTTCATTTATTCTTGACCATACTTCTACAGCAAAGATTAGGCATAATTCAAAAGAAAAATCTGCTGTGGAAAATAGGGTGAATTAGATTTGCACAAGTGCATCTTTTTTCTTGCAGAATTTTGATTTGTTTTCCAATAGAATGCATAGAAAATAGGTTTTCAGGTGAATTATACCTTTTATTACAGGCTGTGTAACCAGTATATTTTCCAGTGATAAACTGTAGTATTTGTTCAAGATGCCAAACCATCACACTTCAAACAGTTTACATGGGAGCTGTATCTATCAAACAGATAATTTGCTCTTTTGAACAACATTAGCTTGTATTACTTTATTATTAGTAATAACCCCAAAACCAAAACTATTATCCAAATATCCTTATACTAATATTATTGTTCTGTTTCAGGCCAGATTTTGGCAACTGAAATTCAATCCAGACAAGGCTATGATGCTATTAGTGGGTGGTTGTTCTTATCAGATGGCAGGTGCTCAGCCTGTTCTGGACAGAGGTACAATCCCTGAAAGAGCAGTTTGGTAGCCTGGAGTTCTCCTGGAGTGGTCCTTGTCACTTGAAGTTCAGGTTGTTTCGGTGGCATGGAATACCTTCAATTAAGTTTGAATTCAGCTGACTGGTGGACCACCAGGCTTCAATTGTCTGTGCTTTGGCTACCTTGGAAGATGGTCCAGAAGCTGAAACTTGTGCAAAATGCTGCAGCCAGACTGCTAACAAGGACCAGAAGGTCTGAGTATATAAAACTGACTCTGGCCTGATTGCCTTGTATGTTTCCAAACCCAATTCAAGGTGTTGGTTTTGACCTATACAGCCCTGCAGTACCTGTTGGAGCATTTCTCCCACTGTGTTCATCATCTTAGTCCTTGTGCCTCTTTTGAGGGAGGCTCAGAAGGTGGCAGTAAAGGGGCAGTCCTTCTTAGTGGTGCCCCCACTCCCCATTATCTAATGATCAGCTTGATGAAGGCCCACCTGGACCCAACATTCTTATCTTTTCAACACCAGATTAAGATCTCTGAAGCATTTGGTAACGAATGATGAGGTTTTTAATAAACTTGAATGTTTTGTTGGTTATTTTTAGGTATCTGTGTGTCTATATGTACTGTATATGTATATGGTTTCTAAAATATGTTTTTAAGGTTTAATCTTTGCAAACCTGTGAGAGTGCTTTGACTGTTGGGTGGCCTACAGATTAAATGAATGAATTGAAACTGATTTATAAGCTGATACAGGTGAATATGTTGCAGTCCAGGTACAGATTCAAACTAGTCATGGCTATGATGAGATGGTAGGTTCATAGAATCAAAATGACAATAATTGCTAGTAGAAAAATCTGAACTACTATTTGTTTGAAGTAAATCTGACTGAAATAAGTACAGTTGACTACCAAATGAGTGGCAAAATTGCAGTTTCTCTGAATGTATTCATGTGTGGGAGCGAATCCTTAATTTATAGAATTCACTACTATAATATCTGACTATGGGTTCTAACTTATCCAGAAGGCCAACTAACTTATCTAAAAGTTCATAACTAGTAAAATTGCCTATACAAATTTCCCAGAGTTGGAAGCAGTATGTCACTGAATATCACTGTCTGAGAATCAACAGCCAGAGATGGTTATTTCCTTTAAAGTCTGTTTGTGGGTTTTCCAAAGGAATCTGGTTGGTCACTATGTAAGCAGACTGTTGGATCAAATGGCCCCATTGGTCTGATCCAGCAAGCTCTTATGTTTGACTGAAGGGAAATGTAACTTGTTGCTTTTTATATGATTGGCAAGGCTTTTGCATGGGGACCCTCTTGTAACATGGTTTGTTTGGCTTTTGAAGCTTAATCTTGGAGAAGATGTTGTGAAAATCAACTATGATTGGAGCAAGCTTCAAGGTGCCTCATCAATGCAGCCCAGGTTGCTCTTGACTGCTCTGCAGCAGCATATTTCACTTTTACAGGTAAGTGTTTCTTATTGGGTCCTTTTTTGAAACCCAGTCACTCAAACTTAGCCTTAAATGCAAAAACCTCAACTCTGATATTAGGATTTCTGTATAAGGAAATGGTGTATATGAGATTCTGCTTTGCTTCTTAAAGGGCTTAAAGCTGTTCCTTTAAAACAGTTATTAGAAGAGGTCTGGGAATAGCATTGCAAACTACCACGGGTGAGTAGATTGTGCAAATGCATTCCCATTGATTTCTACACTTCTACTGTAAATGCAGTACATTTCCATCTGTGGTGGGTTATAATTAAGCAATAACACGGCAGGTGTGTGTCATGCTATGATAATGACTCCATGCGTTGGGTGAGTTTTGCGGTTTCTGAAGTGCTTTCAGTGGATCAAGAAGTGGCATTATCCCAGCATGATACATCCTGGTGTGTGTGTCTGCAATTAACCATATTTCTAGCACATTTTGAAAAGTAACTTCATAGACAGTTAAATGTTTTATCTTGTCAACTAACAAGTTGCTGTGTTACATTATTTTCTCTTGCCATTATTTAATGTTGTCCCAATACTTATGCCATTCCTTGTTTCTGGATCCTAGCAGAAGTCTTGTGACCTCTGCATAGTACTTAATAAGAATTTGCCTATAATCAGTTTTGTTCTCTTATTGAAAAACAATGTAATCTGTCAACAGCCTCTCCTGTGCAAGCTGCACTGGAAAAATGAGAATGCTTTTGGTTCAGTTTGTGTTCTTGTGCAGTATGCATTTAAAACTGATCATGTCATCATTTTAAGTAATGCATATATTAAATGTAAAAAAAATGGGGAGCAGTTTGCACAAAATGACTTTGGTGTAATGGTTTCTTGTGGTTTGAAGTCACCGATTTTTCCTTAGAAAGATAAAATGGTACCAACTGAAATATTTCTATGAATAGGAGTAATGTAAAGCCTACACTTTGTATCTTCATGGTAAGCAGAATGAACTGTGTTAGAACAGTTGATATAGTTACAAATTTATAATGCTTGATTTGTGCGTGAGTACTCCTTTCTGGGTCATTTGATCTTTTTTAATGCAGGTTTTTCCCAATATAAGAAAAGATGAATTTATGAGCTTGTTTTTGTTATTTTCTAGTTTGTATGTAAAAATTAAAGGTATTAAATAAGTTTTATGGTGAGGAAGATGAGAAAATAAGGAGGATTTATTTGGCTTCTCTAAATATTGGTTGCATTGGACGATGCATGATTCTAGAGCCCAGTGTTTGTATTCTTTCATGCATTTGGGGTAGCTGCAGTTTCAAGTGGAGATGCTGCCACTGATGTAGTGTTAAAGAAAGAGCTTTAACAGAATGAGTGTCTTGGCTCTTGTATTAAGGAGAAAAAAATACTTAAGCCTTAATGTTCAGAGTAAGCGTTTGAATGACGTGTAAATTAAGTGGCATTGATGCCAAAGACTTCTGTATTAATTTGGTACAAAACAGATGAGTAACAGACAGATTTGCTCAGATAGTCTGGACCCTCTAGAGGGTTTTTTTAATACGTAGATTAGTAAAAGGCACTGATCAAAAGGGCAGTGACACTTGGGAGATGCCATATTTTAATTCTAGTTTGATTTGGATGGTGTACATAAAGATGATAGCATATGGTCCTTATAGTTGCTTGTTTTAGAAATTCTAGTTTTTAAAAAGTGTTTTTTCAATTTGAAGTCAGCTCTCTCTCTTTCCATTTTGCCTAGCCGTTTATAGAAAAGCTTCAGTCTTTGATTAAAGAAGAAAGCACTGTACCCATTGATGATTCCGATAAGACAAAAGAGAGAAAGTGTGAGACTAATTCAAATGTAATAGATAAAGATGTGCAGGTGGAAGTAAAACACATAGCCTTTGGTTCTGCAAATCTGAAAGAGGCTCATGTTGATTTTGACCCAGAAGTAGTCCAGATAAAAGCTGGGAAAGCTGAGGTAAGTGATTCTTGGGTCATTTTCCCCCTCTAGTCTAGACCATTCTTTCATTTTGAATGGCAGTAATGAAATCTAAATATAAGTTGCTCTGTTACCTGCAGATTGAAAGACGAATATCAGCCTTCATTGAAAGGAAACAAGCCGAGATCAATGAAAACAACGTCAGAGAATTTTGCAATGTTATTGATTGTAATCAAGGTAGCTATCCAGTTGAGCTTTAATTTGCTTACCCATTTAAGTGTGATTCTTCTCCCCTCTGCCCTTATTTTTGAACAAGCTGTTATAAAGTTCTTAAAAAGCAAAGTTAATAATGTAAAAGTTATTAGTTATGCAAAATGTAAACAATTTCTCTTTTGTAGTATGCATAAGAATCTTCAATTTCAGAGAAGTCACCATAATTCCAAAGAAACTTCCTTCCAAGAGTATATTCTAGTATATTCTACACTCTGATATATTCTCATGGACTGCAGTGGAATACAGCAGTGTCACTAATTTTGTAGATAGTACTACTTGAGTAAGAATGTGTCTCAGGTTGCTGTCCTATATGCATTACTTCTGAGTAGACATATACAAGATTTCACTATTGAATATGGATGGAAGGAATTGCATGTCTATAGTATATCCTTCCTTGCAACAGATATAAGGGCCTATACTGTAAATCCAAATGCACAGTTCTGCTTCTTTTTAGTAGCTTATCTCTTATTAATTGCATTTGGCACAAATAACTATAATCCAGAGATACCACAAAAGGGAATGTTTTTATAATGCATTCTTGCACTCAATGATTACTTTAAAACTCCTAAGAGGTAAAGAGGTAATTTTACTCTTGAAGTAAAATTTAATTTGGCATTGTTTGGATTAAAAGTTGCAGTTCAAGCCAATATGCATTGGTGCTGATCCTAGAACTCTGGTGTTTGTTTTAGTTAAATGATTGTGTACCTGATCAAGAAAAAGAAAAGATTGCTTAAACAAGTGACTGTCCATCAAGCTCTGGAAACCTCATGTAATGAGGTTTATATGGGGCTTTCCTTTGGCCTAGTTCTGAAGCTGTAACTGGTACCCAACCTTTGCATTACCTTCACATGAATTGTAACAAATAAGGGAAATTGCAGGATATTTTAACAAATTAGGCAAACCAACAAGACTTGAGTTGAAACATTGCTGCTAAATAGATCGGCCTGTATGAGGAAGGAATGTGTAAAGATCCGAATTTTAAAAGAAAAAAATATTTTTTTTCTGCTTAGATGCAGAAATATACAAGTGAAATAATAAAGAGAAATTCTAGAAGCAAGAGGTACCTAAAGATATTCTCGTGTGAACATCTCACATAGCTATGCGTACACTACATAAATGGCTAAAGCTATAACAAAATCACCTGTCATAAAACCAGTGTTGTTCAGTCTTATTTTTGCCTACATGTTTCCTCAGGAAAACTCTTTTTGGTTGACTTGGAATTAGCTTTTAAACAAAACTTCTTCTAATGATCTAGGTTTCCCAGAAAAGTCTGAATTTGGGGATTTTCTGGAAAAATTAATTTGCAAACAAAAAAATTAATTTGTTTGGGGAAATGTGTGAAGCCCAAAAAGTGATCTAGTTTATCTTTTATTTTTATTTATTAAAATGTGTATATATTGCTTAAAAAATGAAATTCCTACACAGCTCACATTAAAATACTGCATGATAATATAATGGCCATTGAGAAAATAAATAATTATTAACAACATTATAGTACTATAACTTGTTAGGAACATCAGGGTAGGTCAGAGAAAGCCTGTATGAAAAGATATGCTTAAAACTTGCTGCTACTTCTGCCTGTCGAACCATACATAGAAAAGCATTCTAAAGATTGGGTGCCAGCACTGGGAAATCTTGCTTATGCATCACTACCCAATGGTCTCAGTGGTGGGTTGGGTATATATAAAGGAAGACTGTTGGCTCATTATCTTGGCCCTAAGTTATTTAAGACTTTGTATATCAATACTTTGGTGGAAAGATTACATAGAACTATACAAGAAAGAGCTTAATGTCCCTGATAACCACGATAGGGTGGTCACTGACCTCAAGCCAGACATCCTGGAATGTGAAGTCAAATGGGCCTTAGGAAGTCTGAGCAACAACAAAGCTAGTGGAGGTGACAGTATTCCAGCTGAGCTATTCAAAATCTTAAAAGAGAATGCAGTAAAAGTGCTACACTCAATATGCCAGCAAACTTGGAAAACTCAACAGTGGCCACAGGATTGGAAAAGGTCAGTTTACATTCCAATCCCAAAGGAGGGCAATGCCAAAGAATGTTCAAGCTACCGCACCATTGCACTCATTTCACATGCTAGCAAAGCGATGCTCAAAATCCTACAAGCTAGGCTCCAGCGGTTTGTGGGCCAAGTACTACCAGAAGTACAGGCAGGATTTCGAAGAGGGAGAGGAACTAGAGATCAAATTGCCAACATACGCTGGATCATGGAGAAAGCTAGGGAGTTCCAGAAAAACATCTTCTACTTCATTGACTATGCTAAAGGCCTTTGATTGTGTGGACCACAACAAATTGTGGCAAGTTCTTAAAGAGATGGGAGTACCAGACCATCTTATTTGTCTCTTGAGAAACCTATATGCAGGTCAAGAAGCAACAGTGAGAACTGAACACAGAACCACTGATTGGTTCAAAATTGGGAAAGGAGTTCGGTAAGGCTGTATACTTTGCCCTGCCTATTTAACTTATATGCAGAGCACATCATGAGAAAGGCGGGGCTAGATGAATCACCAGTTGGAATTAAGATTGCTGGGAGAAATATCAACAACCTCAGATATGCAGATGATACCACTCTAATGGCAGAAAGTGAAATGAAACTAAAGAGCCTCTTGATGCAGGTGAAGGAGGAGAGCACAAAAGTTGGCTTGAAACTCAACATTAAGCAAACTAAGATCATGGCATCCGGTCCTCTCACTTCCTGGCAAATAGATGGGGAAGAAATGGAGGGAGTGACAGATTTTATTTTCCTGGGCTCCAAGATCACTGCAGGTGGGGACTGCAGCCAAAAAATTAAAAGCTGGTTGCTCCTGGGGAGGAAAGCTATGGCATATCTAGACAGCATACTAAAAAGCAGAGACATCACCCTGCCAACAAAAGTGCGTCTAGTCAAGGCTCTGGTTTTCCCAGTTGCAATGTATGGCTGTGAAAGCTGGACCATAAGGAAGGCCGAAGAATTGAGTCCTTTGAATTGTGGTGCTAGAGGAGACTCCTGCGAGTCCCTTGGACTGGTGATCTAACCAGTCAGTCCAAGAGGAGATCAACCCTGGCTGCTCTTTAGAAGGCCAGATAGTGAAGATGAAACTCAGATACTTTGGCCACCTAATGAGAAGAAAGGACTCCCCGAAGAAGAGTCTAATGCTGGGAACAATAGACAGCAAAAGAAGAAGGGGACAGCAGAGAATGAGGTGGCTAGATGGAGTCACTGAAGCAGTTGGTGTGAGCTTAAGTGGACTCCGGAGGATGGTGGAGGACAGGAAGGCCTGGAGGAATGTTGTCCATGGGGTCGCGATGGGTCGGACACGTCTTCGCATCTAACAATTTATCAGTACTAGAACCTTGAACATGGCTCAGTAGTTAAAACACAGGCAGTATACTTCTTTTCATACTGCCTATAGCCAGTGTCTCACTGAGTACTGTAACTGTCACATTCCGTATTAGCTGCAGCTTCTAAAGCAGGTGGAAGGACAGTCCCATGGACCACAGTAGTGCATGGACCATTGTAGCTAACATTGAAGCTGGTAAGATGATCTAGGCTTCTAGTGGCAATCTAGGAGTTCCCCCAGATCACATAACATCTTCAGAATGCAACTCTATTCAGAACATGCAAACAACCCACTTCCCAGTTTTGAGAACCACCCATCATAGTGTTTTTGCCTTGTCGTGATTCATCTTCAATTTATTAGATCTTATCTAGCCCACAAATACATGTAGGCCCTGGTTTTAGAATATGCCTGGCCTCTTCCACTGCAGATGCTGCAAAGAAATAAAGCTAAGTGTCATCAGCACTGCTCTCAACAGCTAAATATATATGTTAAACAAAATCCAGAATAGAATAATACTTGTGGCACTCCACAGGTCAACCACCAGGAGGTAAAGCATTGTCTCCCAATGTTGTTCTCTGGAGCCAAACCCATAGATCCAGTTTGGAAGGATACTGTGCTCCACATTATCAAACACCACTGACATACTGCAAAAAATCAGAGTCACATTCTTTTAACCCTCCTTCAACAAAGGTCATTCATCAAAATGACCCAGGCCTAATTTAACCTGAAACCAGACCTGCCTTTGAGATACTGTGTACCACACAATCAACCATTCACCACTCCCACCTAATTTAAGCTCTTCCCCTAATTAATATATAAGTCACTAGTTCTCTGGATTCCTATCTTCCTTGCTTATATAACTTAGCGGGATACCTAAGTAATATATTGTTCACTTGTCCTGCCATTTCCTTGATTACACCAAAGGATCTTGCCCAAAATAGACCATTTTTGCTCCAGACCTATAGTTAGGAAAGTCATCAGCACAACTGTTGGCATTTTCAATGTATATCTTCTTGTATTATGTACATTTGTCTCAATTTAACTGGTGTTTTATATCACCTGTGCATCATTTTAAGCTGATTTTCCCTTCAATTAATGGATACAGAATGCTTGATTTCTTATATAAATACATGCTCTCATGTCCATACTGTAATATTACAGCTTAAACATTTTAAGTTTTTACTCAACAAATATTTCTGTCTTGAAAACATGGTACTGAGAAAATATTGAGAAAGTTAGAACTTTTTTGGTGGCAGTTAACTTGTAAAAACATGAGTTTTTAAAAACTATTATAAAACAACAATACAAATATAAAATGAGTCATAAAGAATAAGTAAAAAAAACATAAAATGCAAAAAAGAAACCATATGTAAACACAACTAGTGCACCCTCCACTGGGACTACATAATATTTATTCCTTCATTTTTTTTTCTTCATTCTTATTACTACTTCTAAATTTCTGTTCTTTTTGAAATACCCTCTTCCATCCAAAATTGTATTGAATCAACCAAAGCTTTAAAACACCTTTTATTTTTATTAATACATGTTCAACAAATGATCCCCATATATCATTAAAATCATTCTTATTTTTCAGTCCTTTCACCTTAATCTCACATGTAAACTTATCATTAACAGCTATATTCCAATTTTTTATACCATTCAGTTAACTAGAGATCCCATTTCTCATTCCAGTTGTTTGCTATTATCAATTTTGCTGTTATCAGATTTGTTAATTCTTTAATGTTATTTCCATTTCTTGTCATAAAATATTAACAGTAATGCTGTTTCAAGATCTGCTTCCATTTTTGAGTTCAATACCTTACTAATTTCCTTAAAAACCATTATCCAAAATTTCTTTATGTTCACAGTCCCATCTCATACGGAAATAAGTAGCCATTTTTGCCTGTATCTCCAACATAAATTAGAATATTTATTATCAATATAGAATAATTTTACCAGCTTCAGGTACCATTTTATGCTAATTTATAAAAATTGTCCTTAATTCTAATTGACACACTTTTAAATATTCTCTTATCCCATATTTTCCCCCATTCTTCCTTGTCTATAACCTTCTCTAAATTCATTTCTCATGAGTTTTTAAGAAGATCAAATACGTCTTCCCTGCCTAATAAAATCTCACTTATGCTCGTCCTTGTTTGCATACTATCTTGAGTCACTCTATAAAACACAATCTACTCAAATTTGGTAAAGTCTCTGCCAATAAATAAATAATGAACGAATGAGTGAAAAATGGTCATATCTCATTTAATTTTCTCATTCAATACTTCATGGTCCAGAAAATACCCATTTTTCAAAGAAAGATAGGAGAGCATGCTTATCTTCCCTAGGCAGCAACCCAGAAACCCTAGGTTTCTTTAGAAACCCATTCTGAGGCCTTAGTAGAAGATATGACCTTGGAAGATATTTTTAAAAATTCTGAACCCTCCTTAGGGCTCTTCCTAGTTCACCATGGCAGTTCCTTAATGGCTTCTTCTCTAAGGTCAAAAACAGGGAGTTAGGGGACATGGTGTTGGGCTAGCGAGAACTGGTAGCAGATCTGAGGCAGGGCATCCTAAACCCTCCCAGCATCAAACCCAGAAAAATACTTAGGCTTACAGAAGCACATATCTAAATGCATCTCTCCTGTTGCCATCAAAAGGAGGGAGTGGTTTTTCCTTTCCCCGGGATAAAAGCCCTACTTCATTCTTGTCTTTTGCCCTGCCAGTAAAAACTGACAAGGCATAGGAAGGAGCAGAAATTCTGATCTCCAGGCTCTGCTCTGAGAGCTAGGATTGCCCCAGTTGAATTTAATCCCTTCCTGACACAGAAGAGCCAAAACAGCCACAAGTTCCACACATTTAGGAATTCTGTTATGGAGCTCTGAGGTAATGTGACATATCATTATTAATTTTATCCTTATCCCATGTACTTTTTAAATGTAAAATGTAAAATGTGTGTGGATATTTGTAGGTTTTCAAGCTATAAAAATGACTCAGAAGAATTGCTTCAACTTTGCAATGCATTTGCACTTCTGAATGAAAGAGTTGATTATTTGTAACTCTCTGGTACCTAAATTCTAGGCTAAGGTCACCAACCTGCTTTGTCAAGTCTTTGGAGTGAATTATGGGCTTCTTACCTGACTGCACTAATGATCACTTATTTAAAACTTCCTTAGAAAACAGCTGTGCAAGGACTGATGCAGTATTCACACCCTACCCAGGATTTAAAAGTCACGTGAAAGGTAAGTACAGTTATTATTGTATTTAATGAGGAATTTTTGTCTCCTAAAACATCTTTAACATTCATCTGACTGAGAGCACACTGTCAGTTTTGTTAAATAACTTCTTGATCTAAACTTAATTTGTTTAGTTGAGACATCAGTGCATATTTATTCAAAAGCAAGTTCCTGCTGGCCTGTTTGTTTATTTAATATATTTTTGAGCCACCTTTCAAAGCAGTGGTCTTCCAAAGGTTGCTTACATGGTAAAACAATAAAATTCAATATATAAAGGCACTGTAAAATTATAAACAGTTTTCAAATAAGCTAGTTAAAATAGAATACAATGTCAAACCTTTAACAGCAGCCAATACCATTCCAGACATTTAGATAAATCTCAGAGAGCAGGTATTTTTTTAAAGCTCTCATAAGGGTAGCCGCAGATGGGTCCAGCTTGGGAGAAAATTTCACAGGTCAGGAGATACCATTGACAGAGCTTCCCTAGTGCCCAACATTTCATTTCTCTTAGTGTCAGGCCAGCAAGCCAGACCTCTGCAGACAATCTTGAGGCACAGGCAGATTCATATGGCTAGAAGTGGTCCTTCAGATAATCGGAACCCAAGTATTGGGTGAGATTTTCCCATAAGTGCTTGTGTTGGATTGCAGCTTCAGTTGGTTTTCAAAGCCAATGGCAGGCAGCTTGTTCAGCTGCATTAGTTGTAAACCAAGCATACCTATTAGGAAGGAAATCCATTGAACTCAATAGGACCTTATTTGAAACAAACATCCTTGGGATTATGCTTTGGGGGTGAGAGTTGCTTTCTGCTTCTGTCTTTTCCTCATCCTAATAACCATCCATAGTATAGTTAAAAATCATCCTTTGTTCAGCTATAAATAGTTGTTCCCTTTTTGATGATTTTACTTGCTATGGTTGCATTACTTTGATGATTATTCATATTCTTGCATCTCTCTCTTTTTGCTGTCTTAGTGTGTTATGGCTGCTTTATTTAATGCATTTATTTTTGTGAGACTTTTTAAAGTAGTTAAGTTAGAGCTTAACTTATAATGCTCGCCACTTAAAATGCTGAAGTTGTTGAGGAAAGCTGTGGTATAAAGCCTTTAATTAAATCAACAAACTGGTGACTTGCTGCTTTTTGTCTTTAAAAAAATTAATGAATAGACACAGCATGAAATGGTATCCTAATGAGAATGGTTGTCAGGAGAGTTGCATGAAAGCTGCTCCCTGCCCTTTGTTTATTGTTTACTGTGGGAGTCTGGGACTCCTGTTCTTTGGTGTGAACCACAGGTGAGTCACAGCTATTAAGCAGAGCATTGCAGATTCTTTGAGAATCTACACAGAGCCCAAAAGCATTTAGTGCTTAATAGTTAGTAATTTGCCACCTGAAAGTGTGTTCTGCCATGCAATTTATAAGGCGAGGAGCATTCAGCTAGCGTAGAATCTTATCAGTACACCTGACAAGAATAAAGCAAAGGAGCATTGGATAGTCCTGTTTATTTCTCTCACCATGAGTTCTGCAAAGAACAGGAGTACTTATGTTAGTAGGCAAGAGTGAGTGTGAAGAATACAAAGTAAACTTAACAGTTCAGCCACTGCTGCAGTTGAATATGATACATTGCACTTTATGCTAGGTACAAACAGAGGCTGCGATTTGCTAGCATTATATACTGTAACTAAGGCAGCGATGCTACGAACTGTGAACTGTGACCAGTGACTGTTACTCACATTGAATGTAGTGGAACTTTGAAAGTGCATGAATTTTTGCTCTAAGGCAGATGTTCATGTTGTTTCTCTCATGTGTGTAAATATATATATATATATATAATTTTTTTTACTTCTAAAAATCCTAGTTTCTCGAGTTGTCAATACATACGGGCCTCAGACTAGAAACCAAATTGCTCATGGGGCCAGTCATCAAGCAAGTACCCTTCCTCAGGATTGTGGGAATCAGGCTGTAGAAGAGAGACTACAAAACATTGAAGCTCATTTAAGGTTACAAACAGGTAATGCTTCTCATGTAGCAGAAACCAGCAAAAGTGTACATTCAAAGTGTTATTTCAAAGCATCTCTCATGTCATATGGTTTGCTTTTGGATTCCAAAAGTTGACTGGGATGAAAAAGGAGCAATGAATTAGAGTAGTTAATTCTGCAAAGTGTAATTCATAAGTGCCAGGCATTGCACTCCTCTCTCTGTTTCTTCCATCCTTTGCTTGGAAGTCTCTTTTTGGAGTGATCTTGGAAATCTCTGTGACAATATTCACTGACATTCTGTTTAGGCCAAATGATAAAATAGAGCAGTGCACCCATATGGCAGCCTAGGACCAGGTATAAACAGTTGTCAGCGGCATCATTAAATACTCTGCATGGCAAGTAACATCCTCCTGCTCCAATCTTAAAAAGAGACTGACTTCTTGAGGTTCGTCACTAGGAGTGGTCATTTCCCTCATGGAAAAATGATTGTGAGACCCTTGCTTTTGTCTTTGTTTGGCAGACTCATTATTTTTCTTCATCTCTTGAAGAATCATCTGAGCAGCCTGGGCATAGTTTATGGAGACATAAAGTTCTTAAATTGCTTTGATGGGCAGCCAAGCAAGGTCACTATAAGCCTTGGTACAGAATCTTTGAAAAAGTAGATCTATCAAATATTTAATCCACAAGATTCTTGTCAAGACGAGAGCTACTGTTTCCCACCTTGGCTCCTGGGGATAGGTTGTCTGTAAATCTAAATCAATGCCACTTCTCTGCCCTGCTGATCATGCTTCACTTTCAGTGCAGTGCAGCTACGCAATTTTGAAGTAGAAGAAAGGGACATGGGAAGAAGCCTTAACCAGCAACTGTAAAAAAAGGCACCAAAGTTCCTGACCAGTGAAAAGAAGCCATTTGTTCTATTAATTCTGTTTTAATGAACAGAAAGAAGGGAACCAGGTTCCCATCTTGCATAGAAGATCAATTTTAAACACTGTACTGAAATTTCCTTTAAAGCTAAAATCTACTTCTGCTCAGTTTCCTGAAACTTGTTCTATTTTTAAAATGTAATACAGGTGGACCAGTGCCAAAAGATATTTACCAAAGGATAAAAAAGCTTGAAGATAAAATTCTTGAATTGGAAGGGATGTCTCCAGAATATTTTCACTCTGTGGTGAGTGACTTTAAGTCAAGGCATATTCTGCAAAGAGATGTGTGTGGGGGGGGGGGGGGGGGATGAACGAACAGTAAACTGTTATTCCAAGCACAGGGTTTTCAAGACTGCTTTGGATAGGATGGCTTTGCATGATGATTTCCATCAAGAACAATTGGACTGTTGGCAACACATAAGTTCTGTGTACACACTAGCAAACTATAGGGTACTGTTTTGGAAAGGTGGCTTAGTTTTTTAGGATGCAGTCTTATGCATATTTACACAGGGGAAAAAAGTGCTACAATTCCCAAGATTTTCCAGCAGGCATGGGAGTTGTGGGGCTTTTTCTAAACATACATGAAATTATACCTTTAAGCTGTTTCGGTAGAGGTTTCCTCTTGCATATCTATTCTTTTGGAGTGTGTGTGTGTGTGTCGTGGGGGTGGGGGAGGTTACATGTATGGTGCAGGTCTGTTTAGAATGGTATGACTTGAGAATGTAGGTTAGTAGGCAGTGGCATATGGAATGCATACGTTAATAATTTTTCTATAAACATTCCCTACATATAGAAATTTAGCACATTAAGAAGAAAAGCAAGCTAGGATTTGCTTGTTTTTTATAAGCAATTTTAAAGGATTCTATGTACCCAGTCCCAGATCAAAAATAGGATGACCCATTTGTGCATACTGTTCTCCAGCCAGTGGAAGACACATATGCATGGAAGCTATTTTCTGCATATGTAAGGCCTCATCAGAATTGGAGGGTCACACAGGGAAGAACAGAAATGCTGAAAAATTCTTTCAAAGAAAATGTGAGTCCATATAAGATGAATGGGTTCTTGCTTGCCACATATTTCAGTAGTAATGGGGAAATCTTGTTGTTAGAGAAGACTTTACCTTTTAGTATAGGTACAACAACAATAAAAACTCAATGTACTTTTAGATTAATTGTATTTTTTCTTCAACAGAATTTGTCTGGCAAGAGAAGGAAAATCCAAGAAAACCAGGTGAGTGGCTTTGAGTTGTATATGTTTGCAAGTGTACAGTGAGAGCTATTCTCCTCTGACCCCTTCTTTGTGGGTAGAAAGCTAAATTTCTAACTTGTTTAATATGGAATAGACATCTCTGGGTCACCCACCACTATGATGTGCATATTCTCCTTGTGTTAAGCTAGTACAAGGATAGGCCTCTCTGGAAGATCTTGAAGCAGGCAGATTCTTGTGAGAGAGCACAGTGTTTCAGATATTATTATTATTATTATTATTATTATTATTATTATTATTATTATTATTACATTTCTATGCCGCCCCTTGCCGAAACCTCGGGGCGGCTTACAACATGATAAAATACATTGAAATACAATAGTACATAATAAATTACCATTAAATATAAAAATACAAAAAAATACATTGATTTACAAATACAAAATTAAAATTATCAGTATAAAATAAAAATATAGGAGGAGAAAGAGAAGGAAGAAGAAGTTGCCCAGGCCAGATCATATGTTTTAACAATTGAAATGATGTTTAAATAAAAAGGTCTTTACCTGGCGCCGAAAAACCAGTAACGACGGTGCCAGGCGGACCTCTTTGGGGAGTGAATTCCATAGGTTGGGCGCCACCGCAGAGAAAGCCCTCCTCCGGGTACTTACTCTCCTAATTTCTTTCATGGAGGGTTCCCGGAGAAGGGACTCTCCCGCAGATCTCAAAGGGCGGTCGGGCATATACGGACGTAAGCGCTCGTTCAGGTAGCCAGGACCCAAGCCGTTTAGGGCTTTGTAGGTCATAATCAACACCTTGAATTGGGCCCGGGCTTCAATGGGAAGCCAGTGAAGCTGATGGAGGACTGGAGTCATGTGAGCATAACGCCCTGTCCCTGTCAGCAACCTGGCAGCTCTATTTTGCACCAATTGAAGTGTTCGGACTGTCTTCAGGGGAAGCCCCACGTAAAGCACGTTGCAGAAGTCTAGGCGGGAAGTCACCAGCGCGTGTGTCACCGTCGCCAGGCAGTCGTACTCCAGGTAGGGGCGCAGCTGATTAATCAGCCGAAGCTGAAGGAAGGCGTTCCTCGCTACCGCTGTCACCTGAGCTTCCAAAGAGAGCTCCGGGTCGAGGAGTACTCCTAAGCTGTGGACCTTATCCCTAAGAGGGAGTGTTGCACCATTCAGGACCAGGTCAAATCCACCCTCTCCGAAACCCGATCCGCCAACCAACAGGACCTCCGTCTTGTCTGGGTTGAGTTTCAGTTTATTGGCCCTCATCCATTCCCTTACCTCGGCCAAGCACCGGTTCAGCACAGCCACTGCCTCACCTGGATTAGTGGAGAATGAGAGGTAAAGCTGGGCTGTGTGGGGCTTTATAGGTCATAAGCTGTGCTTTAAGTTATGTTTGGGAATATAGTAAGCAGTGAAGCTTTTGCAACAAGGGAGTTGGGTTGGGCCAGCTGAAGTTTCTGAACACATTTCAAAGGCAGCTCCATGTAGAGTATGTTCCAATAGTCCATGTGGGATGTAATTAAGATATACATGACCATAGCCAAATCAGATATTTAGGAATGGGCACAGTTAGTGTAGTAGTCTCAGTTGGGCAAACCATACTTCCAGCAATCCCTATATTGTCCAGATAAGCCATGTTTCTAAAGCTTGGTGATCACCTTGTCTCTCATGCTTGCACAGCAGTGCAGTCGTATCCAAAAACTGTTTTTTTCATTAATACAGCTCTTGGCACCTAAGGGGTATTTAAATATACTTTTTAGCCTAATGACTTGTATGGGAAGCAGTGGCAACTTACTCACTTGGAACCAATGTCCTGGTGTGTGTACTTCTCTTACAGTTTAGTCAACCCACACAGAAAGCAGAATTTAACATTTGCATAGCTGTTGCAGAGCCTGGCATGTAGAAATGCTCTTTGGTGACATTTCTGTGGGATTTCGGCCAGCATCTGAATCTGTCCTAAAAGGATTTTTGCTCTCTGAAATAGCTGTCTTTCAATATCCTCCCAAGATTGTAGTCCTGCACTGCACCCACTGGATTCATTTGGACTTCCTTCTGAATAGATGTATATAGAGTTACTTTGTAAGTTGCTAATTGGATCCCAGTGCACAGTATTGCAGCTTTGTTCAACAATGTATTAGTAAATTGAATTGGTCATAATCATCAAAAGCTTCTTATTCTAGCATTGGAATTCATGGAACTTCCACTATAATTACTCCAGTGTATTCATAGGGTCAGCTTGGATATAACCTCCCACCCCCCAGCTTAATCATGATTTATTGAGATAGGAATAAGCATCGTACTTGTGTAGTCTCCCCTTTGCTCTCCTAACATTCTGATTTCACTGTTTGCATTATGGCTATTTTAAACCACAGTTCACCTTTCAATCAGATGTAATGTTAAATTCCAGACTACAATACAAAGCCAGGGTTTATATCATAGTTTAGAGTTAAAAGATTAAACCACAGTTTCCTTTCTATAAAAAGAAAGTAACCATGGTTTGCAGTAACTACTATACAAGTACTGCAGTTAGCACATGAGAGAAGGGGAAGGGGGCAAGAACACCATCCTCATACATTTCTCAGGATTGATCCATGGTCATTTTAAATAAATAGGTGCTGCTAAAGGTTTATGCAATAAATTAAAGATGTTAAACTCTCTTTTTTCTGAATGGCAGAACTATTCTTTGGCTGAACTTGATGAGAAGATCAATGCACTTAAGCAAACATTGCTGAGAAAAACAAACGAAGAGAGGCCCTGATCAGCGTCTTTGAGTACAGCAATGTGACTTCATCATGCTTTCATGTGTACATAACTCCTTTAGGCTGTCTGAGTACTGTTTGTTTAGGAGTTATGGTAAGGAAACTAAACAATGAATATATGAATTTGTCTAATTCATTTTAGAAACCTACATTGAGTAAACTTCTTTGTTTCTTCAAAGTGAAGAATGTTTTGGAAGTGACATTGTAAATATCTCTTCCCTTCTGTTGGAAAGGAAGATTTGTAGAACCGTTAATTAAAAAAAAAAGGAATCCTTTTGCTTTGCTGCATCAAATGAACTTTACATTCTCTATGTGACATAGATCAGAAGAATGTCTCTTGGAATATAATTCTGTTGAAAGACTGTCATGTGAAATGCAGTTCTTCATATAATTCATATAACTTTGTTAAATAAAGGAAATGAATACGCAGAAAAATAAAGACTTGTAGTAACTGATGGGACAGGTCATGGAATATCTATCAGGGATATTCTCCTGATAGAGAATAGAAGATTATCTCTGAATAACTCTGTTTACATGATCACTACAGACCATGACAGCTTGTGAAAGTTGCAGTGGGCTGCTGTGTGTGTTGGCAGCCATGCTGAATATTCAGCCATCAAATAACTTTACAGCAGCCTATGGGTTATTTGAGGATTGTAGGGATCTGAAGAATTACAAATGGGTTATCTTAACATTGGTAAATTGGCTGAAAGTATTATTAAATATAGAATTAGCAAACACATAGGGGGACAAGCCCTGATGAAAAAGAATTAGTATAGCTACCTCAAAGTTAAGTCCTGCTCACTAACCTATTAGAGCCTCGATAAGCACATGGACAGCGGCAATCTTACAGGCGTTGTTTCTTTGGATTTCCAAATGGCCTTTGACAAAGTCCCTCATCAAAGCCTCCTGAGCAAATTTAGCAGCCATGGAATAAAGGGCAGGGGGGCTCTTGTGGTTCAAGCTGGTTAAAACAGAAAGCAAGAAAAATAAACATTATTCCCCAATGGCAGTGTGTAACCAGTGGGGTCCCACAACATTCTGTATTAGGATCAGTGCTTTTTAATGTATTTGTAAATCATCTGGAATTAGAAGTAAGCAGTGAAGTGCAATGTAGGAGCCTGCCAGAAAAAGAGGTGGAAACCCTAATTTAGTATCCTCAACATAGTTAAGTGCACAATGACCTGGTTTACACAACATGACAATTCACCAAGGGCAGCAAGCCATTGTTGGCTTTCCTGTTCTCCAAACACAGCTCAGTTAGTTCATGCGAGTTTGTTTTTCCAACAAACCACCCTGAAAATGCATGGGCTGTTAAAGTGTGTGTTTTCCCCTGGTGCAGGGGGCAGTTGTTCATCCAAATCCAGCCATGTGTAAAGTCCAGCTACCAGAGACTTGCTTGGCAAGAGCAACTACATCCCTTTTGCTTTCAGATGCTTTTCGCATCATTTATGGACAAAGTTTTAAGGTTGGGTGAGTTCTAAAGAAAGCCAAAACAAAAACAAAAGCCCCCAAAGGAATCTCTCTTCTAAGGACCACCTTCTTTGGAGGCTAGATTGATTCAACAGTTTATCGAGCAAGCAGATTCTGTTCCTGTACCATATTTCTGTAACTGATTACTGCTTATGATAGGCCAAATTTAAGAGCTTAGCCCATCTAAATGAGCTGTATCAGATGGAGCAGGCTTTAAATTTCCAAATACAATGGAGTTTTCTTTGACTTGCATTCTCTTCCCTACCACTAAGGACATTTTGCTGATTTTATATGTTGTCTTGTATGTTTTCCTGCGTTCATGGTATTGTTTAATCTGTTTACTGCTTTGTGAGTTCAGTTGAGTAATAGCAGACAAATCAACCATTAAAAAAACACAGTGAATAAATTAATGTTCAAGTGCAAAAAATAAAATTTATAGAAAAAATGATCAGACCCATTGAAATGGGGTGGGAGTGGGGCTACACCAGGTTTGCTGTATGTTGTTGTTGTTTTTGTTAGAGTTACAGTATAGATGGTGCTTTCAGGATGACATACAGGAAAAGCTCCATATCTGCTGTTTCACTTAACCACAGTTGACTGTGGTCTGAAAAATGGGATTTTTTTTGGTTTGCTTTTGGAGTTTTGCCGTTATTGCGGCCTACTGCCTTCAACTCCACAGGCAGCTGTACTGGGAACACACTCCTTCCTGGCCACAGGTGTGCCTGTCCCAGAATGGTGTGCTGCCCCTCCTCAAGGATGGGGTGGGTGCTGGACTCAGGACCGGGCATGCGGCCATGTGTGAGGCTTGCAACACGATGCAGGACAAGCTCTCTTGGAGCAGGCTGCACTTTGGCACATCGGGTCTTATTTTAAACTAAAGGTTATTCAGATTGCAAAAGAGGTAATTGTAATGCAGCTACCAGTATGGTCCAAAGTAAGTTTGGTGGGGGGTAGAGATAATCATGATTTTTCCACTTTCCTGGTGGACCTGCAACTCTAACCCCCACAAATGTGGAGGACTGACTCTATAGTATAAGCTACTATCTGTGGTTCCATGCATCCACCAGGGGGCTTGGAATCTATCCCCAATGGATACAATCAGTGATAAAGCCAATAACAAAACACACTAAATATATTACTTTAAAAGCAACACTGGAAATCCAGCATTTAAAAGAAATGACTGGATAGTTAACAATACAGGAAATGGTGTTCAAATGCAGCAGTTCACATAATATGAACTAAAGTAAGAAGATGTTTAAACTGGGAAATGAAAAGGTATTTGGCATGAGAAAGTCAGCTATGCTGGTGCCAGGAGGATCTCTCCAGGGCAGGGATTCCACAATTTGGAATCCTCTAACACTGAGGCACCCCAAAAACACCCACACATGAATAGATACCTACTGAAATTCAGTATGTGGGAGCACTTTGGTTAAGGCCTCCAGTGATGATATCTGGTCAAGGGCAGAGACATATGGGAAGTAGCAGCCCTTTAGATACCAAGGAACCAAGCCATGAAAGGGTTTGCAGGGACACCTGAGGGGGCCAATCTGATCTATTTGGAAGGGCTTTGGTTCCAGTAGATTCAAAGCCATCTTTGTCACCTGCCAGCCATGGCATGCCAGCAGTAGATTTTTGCCGCCTCCCAGCTTTCCCTGGGAGAAAATAGGAGTCTCAGGGTAGACTCATTCACCAATGCTTCCAAAACTCCTTTCTGCCAGCAAGGGACTGCACCCCACCTCACTGATAGTGCTTGGTGTAGGTTAAGATCCCTCTGGTATTCATATAACTCAAATGACATATATCTGCCAATCATTTCTGCAGTTAATACGCAGAAAGTTTTTCAGCTAGTTAATTAGGTCAGCACACCACCTGTACTCCATTTTAAGACTTTTACAAACTACAGACTTTCTTGTTATTACGTATAAACAGGTCTCCCAGAGGTATCTTTCTGAACCAGACTGAATGAGAAAGTTCTTCACTCTGGATACAATGGTATTCTCTGTTTGAATCCACACAAGTCACTCAATGCTCATGGCAAAAGGAGGATGGGAAAGAAAAGGATAATTACTTATTCCCTCTTCAAGTGGCTGCTTTGATGCCTGAAAATGGAAGGGGTAGTTCTGATCTCCGTAACAGAATAGCAAGAACAAGGTAGAATTTCACATCCTGAACTACAGGACAGAACATTTCACAGATATAAGTAAAGTCAGCTCTCTTGCTTGGCATGAAAGTCACCTGTATGTAAGTGTAAAAATCAGTCACCCTGATTTGGCCCTTATTTACTCATATTGTACAATCCCTTTGTTCACATTTGTGTAACTTCCCAATAACCCCGGTGCAACCACATACATGAGCAGTTACTTGCACTAGTCATTCCATGAGAACTCCTTTTTAAATATCAAAGCTTGATACCATTTAAAAAAAGATACCATTTTAAAAAAATGAATATAATTTTTAATATTTTCAAATGTGAGGAGGCATAGATTGGGCATATGTTATTGTCTTACTCTGGAATGTCTGCCTTTGCTTGTACATGCTTCTCTGAAGGGAGTGGTTCATCTCTAGGAGGCTAATTTCTTCTAGCCAAGTGCAGAATTTTAATAAATAAACCAAAAAGTGAAGTGCCTTTCTGAACAGCCCTCACATCAGCAGGAAATATGAGTGGTTCAGAAAGCTTGAAGCATTCAGTATTCTGTCTAGCACTGTTTGGAGCAGTAATAGATTTTTTCCCTTAATAAATCATAAGTGATCTCTTTGTTTGGTTTTAATTAAGGAATTGCACCACCACTGAGGAGTTTGCACTCCTAAATGCTAAGCAAATAATCCGGAATAAAAACTAAGGAGGTAGTCGGATCGACAAGCATAATTTGAAATAGATGTTTAAAAATTGACAAGTAGGAAACTATCCGCTTTCATGTGACATATGACTCTGATAACTTGCACCTATGCTATTTTTTTTTTAAAGATGAGGAAACACATTTATAGGGATCTGAAATTTGCATATATTAATTTTTTTCATATTATTGCACATTATATTTGGATACATTTGCACACAATTGGGGTTCCCAAAATAATATTAAAAAAAACAGGTCTGCAACCACAGACAACCTCTTCAAGGTGCCTCTTGGGAACTTTGAAGGGACTGTTTAGTAGCAGTCCAAATGGGGATTGTCAAGGCAGACTTTAAGATACCTGGGAGGAAAAAAGGTAAAGGGGCAACATGTCACAGGAAGCCTAAAATGATTCATATATGTGGGAGTGGGTTGGGCAAGTGGACAAGTCATTCCTGCCATGTTTTCTCATGGTGTACCCACAGGAGAACCAAGGAAGGAGTGGGAAGGAGTGGACAAGCAACCCATAAAGCCCCAGTCATGTGTTAAACACACCGTGGATTGTTCACACAATGACCAACACGCTGCAGTGTATGGTCAAGGAGGATTGTCATGGCATAAGACCTTACCCAACACTCTACTGTCACAATGTGTAATTTGTAAAAGTGTTTTTCAACTCTCACTATTCTAATAAATTCAGTCAAATCGTATGTTATCCTGGTTCACATAAAGCAATGAGCCACTGTACGTAGTTCATTTTGCCTCCTTATAAAAGTATGTACAGTACATTAAAATCAACATTAAAAGTAAAAATGAAAAAGTGATTCTACAGCCTCAAAAACCACATAAACAATGCTATATACACTTCTATATATGACACGGGGAGATTTAAATGCATATAAGAAAAACACAAAGGTTGCTGTTGCTACATAGCTCTGCTCTGAATATCAAAAGGCAAGCCTTAGAGAATCGAGGAACAGATCATGTGGCCAGCAGATAAGGAATGTAGGATATCGGTGTCCTTCTGGAAATATCAATGACCCTGCTTGTGAAAAATTCTGAATATCCAAAAATGCCTGCACAAGCAGACCCATTTTCCAAGTTGAAAGCATATTAACCGCTTTTACTTCAGCATCCTGATAAGCTCCTAGATACCCAGAACAAGCTTCCAACTGGGGATCCTTCTGAGGAGATGTTATCTAATTGTCAAATGCTGGTTCCTTGTGCTTGTTCAGCAGAACCATGGGCAGAAGAGTAGTTGCTAAATCTGGACATATTGTTAAAGACGTGTGATCAATCCAGCCAATGCAATATGGTTAGATTGCATCATGGAAGGCATTCTTTTGAAAAAAAGCATAACCATGGCATATGGTCTGGGGATTCACGAGATCATCAAGCTGGATGAGGGGGAGCTCAGAAAGAAATTGCTTGCTCAGGGTACTAATTAAAACTGCATGATTGACTCTGACTCCTTAAAGTTTATTTCTACAAATTGTACAGTAACTGCAAAACAGGATCCTATTCCTTGCTGCGTAAATGCAATGTATCCTTTGCTAGTGAGGTTTGCTCCATTCCAACAGTATTTAACAACACCCCTGTATGGAAAAGGAATCTTTTTTCATCTCTCAGTGGAAGACACACGCAGAATATCTGGATCTCACTTCCTCATTACCTGAGTTGTCCTCTCTGAAGAAGTGGGTGTGGGCATGGCATAAAATAATTGGCAAGGGAAGACAGCGGGAGTTAGGTAATCACCTCTGTCAATCTTCAAATGAAACTGTGCTTTGTCATGGACAAAACACTTATAGCCACAATGAAAGGAACAGACATTGTTTAAGACCTATTATTTAGAAATCATCTAATTTTTAAAGGTTAATTAGTGTAATTTACCCATCTCCAGTTATTGAAAAGGTCTGGATGTGAACAACAAACATCAGCATTCAGTCCGTTTCTTTTTCTTCCCCTCCTGCTGATTCACCCACATCTGTTTTGCTTTTTATGACCACCTAATTGAAGCAGAGATTTCTGTCCAATACAGATGGTCTACTGTTGATCACTATTTGCATGCTGCTTATACTATTATTGTACTGATTTTTATTCAGTGCCAAATGGAGGGGAACATAACAATGGCATGAACGATTCATTTGGTTGGGAGATTAAAATAGATTTGAAAAGAAAATCCACAATGAAGACAAGTAAATTATTTATCAATATAGTTGTCTGTTAATTGTTGTTCTTCTTTATGCCCTCTTTACTCATTCCCCAATATGTTCTCTGTCATTATGGCATCTTAAACTAGGAGCTAGGCTAAATCATCTGTAACTAACTCATTTCTTCTCTAAATGAGAGTTTTACTCTCCTCTGTGCATGCAGGTAACAATGGGTGAAACTCTGGCATGCTAGGGTCAAGAGCTTTGTCATTCATTTCAGGATTTTACTTTGAATTCCCTGCTCAGATTCTCCTGCTCCCCAATCCTTGAAATCTCCCATTTCTGTTATAGAAAGCTACCAAGGAAGCCATGTCTTGGATTCCCTCGATTTACTTATTTTCTTATAGCATTTCTATACTGTTCAATTAG